ATTTGCGGTTAGCATGGTTAGCCAATTCATGCATTCTCCTAAGGAAAAACACCTTAGTGCTGTTTATAGAATCCTCAAGTACCTCAAAAACACCCCTGGTCGAGGAATGCTCTTTAAAAGGGGACACAAGAGGACGATAGAAATCTATACAGATGTTGATTGGGCTGGCTCTGCTATGGACCGAAGATCCACTTCAGGATATTGTACCTATGTCTGGGGAAATCTTGTGACCTGGAGAAGTAAGAAACAAACTGTTGTTGCCAGAAGCAGTGCAGAAGCAGAATTTCGAGCGCTAGCTCATGGCATTTGTGAAGGAATCTGGTTAAGAAGGCTTCTTGGAGAATTAAAGATATCTTATTCTCTACCTGTGAGACTCTATTGTGATAATAAGGCTGCAGTCAGTATTGCTCAAAATCCTGTACATCATGACAGAACCAAACATGTGGAGGTTGATCGTCATTTTATCAAAGAAAAATTGGAGGAGGGTAGTGTATGTTTGTCATATATACCTACCAAGGAGCAAACAGCCGACATTCTCACCAAAGGATTACACAAACCCATATTTGAGGATTTAATTAGCAAGTTGGGGATGATCAATATATATCTCCCAACTTGAGGGGGAGTGTAGAATATTCTAGAGTTTTCTACTTGTTTCTAGCTATTTGTCCCTTTGAGTAGTGTGATGCCTCTTCAGTTACTGTGTATTTTATTTATTACTTCAACTCCTTAACTACCTTGTAATCTGTATATAAAGATCCCTTTGGGTGTCAATCAATATATGAAAAATACATTTCAGTCTTATATTTCATCAATTATTCTCTGCATCGCTGCCTATGAAAGACTTACTGTTGAGCCCCTAATATCAGTTATGAGTTGTAACAGCCAGCCATGAGAGAGTGCTAATGAGAACATTATTCTAATTGTAATTGGCTTCACTACTGAGAAGAACGGCTCATTATAATAGTATCCTTATTGCTGGTGAAAACCCTTGGCAACAAGCCTGGTTTAATATACATTTATTGTTCCATCTGGATTCTCTTTGATTCTAAAAACCCATTTGCATCCAATGGGATTTCTTGATGTTGGCAAGGGCAACAAAGAACAAGTGCCATCAGCTAGGAGTGCATCATATTCTCGTTTCATAGCTTGAACCCATTTGGGTTCAACCATAGATTGTTTAACACTTGATGGTTCCATATGGGTAGAAAAAATAGAAGGTGTTGGACCCTTGATTCTAGTGATTATACTATGAATAGGAGAGGGGGCGCCAAGTGAGCCAGAGGGAAAATATTTAGAGCCTGATAATGATTGTGAGGTGGAAGAAGAGAGGTCAAGGATAGGAAAATCTGGTGTAGTGACAAAGACGAGAGACTATATTTTTGTGTTAGGAGAGAGTTAAGGGATGAACTAACTAGGTGATTGACTTGAATCAAGTGAGACAGGATAATCTTGAAGATTGATTGGCTGTGTTGGCAGAGAACTGGAACTCTACATGTGTGTATAAGAGCAAGAAGATTAGTTTGTCTTAATGATGAAACATTTGAATTGGACTGAGACTGTGATGAAGTGTTAGAGGAAGGAGTGTGATGAGATGAATTTGGTGACTGAGTTGGAGAGAATTGAGGGGTTGGAATAGGGGATGTGTAACCACATACAGGCTGGTTATTTGATGGTGCTGGGATAAGAAGAAAAGTTTGCAGAAGTGTTAGAAGAATTTGATGGGAACAGAATAGGAAAAGGAAACCAATATTTATTTAAGATAACATCCTTGGACACATATATCCTCCCTTTAAGGCTGAGACATTTATATCCTTTGTGATTAGGTATCCTAGGAAAACGTATTCTTGAGATCTGAAATCTAACTTGTGTTCATTATATGGTCAAAGTAGAGGAAAACATACACATCCAAAGGTGCAAAGAAAACGGTAATCAGAGAGAACTCTTTATGCAGTTCAAAGTATGGAATTTTGATATTTAAAGCTTAAGTTGGAAGTCTAATAATTAGATAAACAACAATGATGAAAGCATGGTCCCAATATTTAAGAGGAAGAGAAGCATGCAATAGTAGAGTTAGTCCCATCTCAACAATTGTTGATGCTTTCGTTCATGTGGAAAATCAGAATAATAATTATAAAACTTTCGTATATTAGGGATATCATGCAGAAAGAACACTTATTACAATTTTTAAAAGTCTTTTCACAATTCAAAACCATTTTGGTAATGAGTGAGGGTAGATTAGTCTCTGAGTAATCACCAATTCTGTGAGAAATTTAGTTAAGGCTCAAAATCCACCTCCCCAATCAGTTTGGAGAGATTAGGATACTGACATTTGTTTAAGAGGATAATGGATCCATGCGTATTTAGTTGTGACATCAACAAAGGTAATATAGTACATAAAACCTTGTGAGGATTGAATAGGGACTGGACACCACAAGTAATTGAAAATGAGTGTAAACGGTTCATGATATTCAGTAGAAGAGGGAAATGAAGGTAATCTAAGAGATTTTCCCATGCAATATGCAAAACAGAAATAAAAAATAGTTTTACTGCTAAAGGGTATATTACATTACGAGAGTACATTTTTCAAGGCCTCAAAGTGAGGATGACCTAATATGGAGTGCCATAAGCTATAGATAGATGTGCTCCTTGATACATCAAATGAAGAGTTCTAACTATTACAAGTATTATCAAATGTTATTGAATTACAAACTGATTGAGTACAATTTGCTACACACGTATTTGAATTACATGACAAGTGACTAGAGTTTTGAGAATTTGAAATAGAACAAGACAAGGCTAGAATAGAAGCTTAGAGACCTCTGAACATATATGGACCATGTTGTCCGAGAGAGCCTTCAAGCAAGACCTCCTAGGACTCCAGTGATTTGACAAAACAGTGAGTGGGATAAAATTCAAAGTAGACATTATTATCCTTAGCAATTTGACAAATGGTGAGTACGATGGAATTCAAAGTAGACACTACTATCCTTAGCAAACTGGCTGACAATGATAAGATTTTTGGTTATTATTAGGACAATAAGAAGGTTATGTAAGTAAAGGTGAAGTGTGGTTTAAAAGAAGAAATGAAATCAGTTGAACCAACAGAGGTGATGGACAATCCTTAACTATTTCCAACATAAATCTATTCTGGCGCAGTATATTGAGTGCCATGCATCAAGTTTCTCGGATCAGCAATCACATGGTGCAAGGTTCCTGAATCAAGGTACCAATCAAGCGCCAACTAGTCTGTTATTGGTGCAATAAGAGCTCTTGGTGTTCCTGTTTGAGAGGATGAAGCACGTGAAGTGCCAGAGAACTGAGACTATTAAGGTCCAGGAAATATAGAATTTGAGTAATTCCAACTCTAATTTGTCGGGTTTTGGATCGCAGGAAAAAATTGAAAATTTTGTTGAGTTGCCGGAAAGTTCTGTTGTATCGCCAAAAAATTATGTTGAGCCATTGGAAAGGTTGGTTGAGTAATATTAGGAGGAACAAATACACATGTCCCAATTTTCGACAAGGTTGCCAAGCTACTGGCGGGCACGACTACCGCACACACCTTGGACGAACCCTCCTGAGTTGGTTCCAGCTTCATAAGGTCTATGCTCTTCTAAGTTGTGTTGTCTGAAGTTTCCCTGTTCTAGAGCACCAGAAACAGGGGCTAATAGAGGCGGATTTTGAGCCCGATTCACGGTCCTCATATTCAACGAATTGGCTTGGAACATGGTAATTATGGCTTCTTGACCAAGTAACTAAGACTCCAAGTCTTCAAAATTGTGAGTCTCTTCCTTGGAAGCAAGTGATGAATGCAATATAGTCATCTAGCAGTCCATCAAGAACAGTTTGAATGAGTTCATTTTCTGAGGGCTTTTACAAGTGCCATACATTCTTCCACACTTTTATCATTCTTCTTGATGTCATTCTTCTTGATGTCCCATAGTTCTGATCTGACCTAATTGGCCTTTGCTTTTCTCACCAATTCAAAGTGTCGATGGATTTTATAGCATGCTTGGTAGGAGAGGTGTAACGACATCCTCAAATTTGGTCAGTGTGATCCTCTCTTATGATACTTCAATTTGACCACCAGATTTTTGAGTTGAGTCCTCTGGTGTGAGATATTAATTTCGAAAGATGGATGTCGGACAAAAGTTGGTTTTTTTTCAATGTGGATAGCCATCTTTCGAAATCAATAGCTCACACCAGAGGACAACCATTGTTATTCATATTCCCATGTAAAAAACAAGTAAAGAGAGGCAGTTGTCAACAAGTGGTGAACTCAAAGAATCTTGTTGATAATTTATTTTGACATTGTTGATTGGAGCCAAGTAAGAAGCATCTTGTCAATTCTTTCCCATGTTGTAAATGTTGGATTTACAATTTCAGCAACTTGATCATCTTCAAACTGAAATTTTAGAGGTATCTTGGGATTGACCAAGAAACGCTCTAGCTTATGTGTGATTATAGGTGGTTCAATGATTTGCTTCCACAAAAGGAAGTTCTTGTTTGTGAGTTTCTTAGAAAGTTGTGTATCGAAAAGATTCTGTGTTTTGGGATCATTTGAAGGAAAAGAAGCAATATCAAGGTTGTTTGTTGAAGCGAAAGCCATGGGAGATTAGGAAATGGATCAAGGCCCCGAGAACTAGAGCTATGATATCATAAACGAAGGAGAGAAAGCTTGGGAAAGAGAAAGAAAATGTCAGAAAAAGAGAGAAAGTTGAACTTCTGAATGTTGAGATTTTCTATTCAATGATGAAACGAGTTTACACATGATAATTTATAGACTCAAGCTAATAGCGCTAACTAAATCTAATCAATTACATTAGGTGTAATTGACAAAACTAATTGCAGCTACAGTAGCAACTGATTACTAAGACCAACAACTGTAACAATTCATCAGAGTGTATACATGCAATACAATGATACAGTTCATACACTACTAATCTAATTTCTGATAAATTTCCTACTTAAGAAACAAAGGATTGTAATAGTTCCATACTTACCTCTTATACAGTTCCAAAGTTCCCACAGCAACATCAAGTGCAAATTTCCCCTGATTTTCCTTACCAATTTGACAATATACTCGAACTTTAACCCCTGTACAAATGTTAAATTCAATTAAGAACAGGAAAGTCGGTAGTAAGAATACAGTCAATACCTAAAATGTACATAGCAATCATGATTTTACCATCGGAGGTATGATCTTCCACATAATCAAACAAACCAACAACAACAGCAACCAAATAAGTAGACATGATTGGTGATTCTTGATATGAAACTGTTTTGAGATTTCCATCATTTTTTTCTTCAGCAACTGGCATATTGGAGAGAGCAATGAGCTCTGAAGGTACATCCAGTGTGATCTTAAAAGTAGCCTGCAAGATCAATCATATGTGAAAAGTAGGCCCAACCTCAAAGTATTTATCATTCGCTAAAGTAACTTGAATACCAAAATCCATCCAGAACTACCCCACCCTTCTTATGGCCTAGCCACCCAAGCCACGAACCAAAGAGAAGCTTATTACTTGAAGTATTATGCTTGTGTTGTTGCAACAATAAAATATCCTACTCTTATGGGTGCTTACAAAAAGGTCCATTTAAAAGGGAAGAGTGGCAGATAGATAAACCTTGCAAGCTGGTTCATCCCAACAAGGAAAGCATCGCCTGGCATCAGCTGGCTCAAACTGTGTAACTGCCATATTCTTCTTCTCACCATTATGCTCGTAGGTACTGCATATAAAAAGTATCCATATAAATTAATTTAAAAAAAAAACTGGAATTTTTGATTCATCTAATTTCTCAGAAAAATTAGAAAAAATAGGAAGGCTAGTTATAGAATCTTGTACTATGTTATTTATTGCATTGTGTTTGAAATTAAAAAATATTTTTAGGTATCACTAGGGTTTTCAAATGAGTAATTCAACCAGAGTCGATAGCAAAAAATATATTAATTATAAAGAGCCATTGATCAAAATGCTGCCTCAGGCAGAATTCAACTTGACGAACTTTGACATCAAACAAAGAAAACATGAATAACACTTACCTTCTGTAGAACCCTTTCATTCTATCATTCAAGATTCCTTCATACTCAATGGCCAGGACACCCAACCCAATGGGTACTTTTTCTGGGAACTCCAATACCAGAATGTCATCATCTTCAAATAATTCAACTCTTGAAGGATTGAGAACCTGCATAGACATTCATTGATTCCACATCAGCAACACTATATAAGGTTTCCAAAAGAGATAAAAAAAAAAAAAAAAGAATCATATCAGATTGTCTGAAATGGATGCAAGAACTGCATAGTTATCAATCTTGAATCTTGTCCAGACACAAACTGAATATGCTTTTGACCCAGCATTCCAGGTTCACACTTTTGCATTGTCTAAAATGGATGCAAGAACTGCACAGCTATCAATGTTGAATGTTCTAGAAATATCTTAATAACAAGTAAGGATCAAGAAGAGAACAAGAGTTGAGATTTGAGAACCTTGGAGGAACCTTGGCTGGTGAATGATACGGCATCGACAGAGAGTTCAGCAGCGTTGAGAACGATGAAATTCGTAGCGGCGACGATGTCTAGGTAAACGGCAACGGAACCTGCGAAACGGCATGCAACGAGGTCAGGCTTGAGCCTAATTTCGTACCGTTTCGGAACGGCGAATTTTGGAAGACGAGGTTGTCCTTTGAACTGATCCATCTCTTTCTTCTGTGTGATCTTCAGGTGACACACACACAAATTCACACTGCTATACACGCACTGAAATGAAATCGGTATAGAGAAAGAGAGAGAATGCGAATTAAGAGTAAGAATTGCGGTGCTGGTGGGAAATGGCTATGGCTACTTATATAGATCTGGTCTCACTAAAATACGACGTCGCTCCCTCTCACTTACTTTCAGGGATCGTTTGATACTGAACCTGCATCCTCTTATTTTTAAGTTAAAAATTATTTATAAATTAAAATTAAAAAAAAAAAAACTTAAAAAAAGAAGTTAAAAACTGTTTAGAAATTATATAAAAAATTTAGCTTAAAAATTACTTAAAAGCACATATTTCAAGAAAATTATCTCTCTTTATCTTTATCACTCTTCATTTAGAAAAAAAGCACACAATTTAATAAAAGAAGATAATAGCTTAAAAAAAAGCTCCTCATAGGAGTTTTTAGTTTGCAGTTTTTTTTTTTCATTATAAAAAAAGAGTTTTTCGTTATAAAAGTTTTTCTCAAAATCTGTTTGGCCTAACTTATGCTTATAACTAGCTTCTAACTTAAAAAAAAGGATCTAAACACACACATAGGAGAAAAAAAAGATTTATCAGGAATAAAAAATTGTTGTGGATTTAGTAGTAATTTTTCTATCCCGGATTATGAAAAAGTGTTTGGTTGGCCAAAATTTTTTCAAAAAAATTGATTAATTTTATTGAAACTATATTTAATTAATGATAAAATATTGATGGAAATGTAAAATAAAATTATCAAAATATCCATCATTTTTAAATATTGTCAGTTATCATCAAACGTGCCCATTAATGAATAGGGAGAATTCTTGTGTTTTCCCCCTCTTTACTATCCTTATTAGAAAGCATGAACACAAAAATGAAGAAAGAATGCAGCATCCATATCGTGCCCATTAATTTCTGAAACCTTCAAATCATCATTTTTGCAGCGCTCATATACTATAGGCCAATAGGGTATTTTGGTCTCAAAACATTTTGTTCAGAATTGAGTTAATGGAAAAAAATATATATAATGGTTTAAGTGGGATACTTTTTTAGATGTGTGTAGTTGAAAAGGAAAATGATAGGCAAAAAAATTTGATGAGATTTTGTTCAATTTTTTTTTTTTTTGGAGTTACCAAATCCTAATTACCTCTTTGAGGCGAGTTGGCTCCCTCTGGTATCCCCACAAGCTTCGACTCTTTGAACCGGCTATGGGATTAATCCGGAGTGCGGGGGTCAGTGATGGCTTCGACTCTTTGAACCGGCTATGAGACTAATCCGGAGTGCGGGGGTCAGTGATGGCTTCGACTCTTTGAACCGGCTATGGGACTAATCCGGAGTGCGGGGGTAAGTGATGGCTAAAGATTCAGCCCCCTCCCCAATAATGCATTCAGCGGGAATCGAAGACATGTCCAACTCTACTAACTCAGTGTCAAAGAACCAACTGAACTGCACCCATTGAGTATTTTGTTCACTTTTCTTATATCAAACATGGTAAAGAAATTTTCTGCACCTCACTCTCTCATCATTCCAACTACAATACCCATACCAAACACCCTTATTTTATTTTATTTTGGAAACCTCTCACTCACTTTGATTAAGTAGAATCTTTGGATAACTTTGTTGTGTTATTTACTGCATAAGATTATAAGTATTCGATTTGTAAATCATCAAATTCTCACCCTTTATTCGAAAATAAAACATGATAAGATACCTTAAACTAAAAGTAGACCTTTTCTGTTCTACAGGTTGGCTACACCAGAATAAGAGGGAGGGGGGATTATGGGAATGATATTAAAAGGGTGTCAAGGTGCCATACAAGTGCTCACTGCTAGAATACCATTTGGAATTTGTGGATGATTGATTAGCTTTTCGTATTATTACTTTTCTCGTGGGAGAAACCTTGGTAATTTTGTTATGCAGGTACTATTGGTTTGGCATATTTGAATTCTGTTTCTAAAAGAAATGATTTAAAAAAAAAAATATTTGATAAGGTTCGTTTTGTAAAAATATTCTAAAAATTATAACTAATTTTTAAAATTAAATTTAGAGAATATGTATAGGTTATTTTTGTTTGTGTTTTAATTTCTTATTTTCAAAACATAAAAATACATATGTCATTAACTATTCTATAAAATATTTTAAAGAAAAACAAAAACAAAACACAGTCAAACAGATATTTTCTTTGTCGCTTTTTATTTTGCATCGTTAACTAAGTTTTCGAAATACAGAAATGAGATATGATAAGCTCTCAACTTTTACAACAAAAAACGTTAATTCTAAATATTAGAATCGTAACTTTAGGATTAATAAAAGGAAAAGACTAATAAGTATGAGCGGAACAAAAGGAAAAGATGGAACTTGTGAATTAGAGGAAGAGAAAAAGAAAAGAAGAAGAAGATTTCGAGTTTCTGAATTGTAATTCGACATTATGACCAAAAATTGCTACCACCAAAATATTTATACTTAATGATATGATTTTTTTTTTTTTATGCCTATCTTATCTACGAATTTTTAATATATTTGATTAGAATTTTAATTAATTTTTAATTTTTTTTTTTTTAGATTCTCATCCAATAATATTGAAAATGAATAGGTAGAGTAAAGTAAAAAAATATAGACACAATATGGCTATGGCTACTTATATAGATCCAATCTCACTAAATACGACGTCGCTCCCTTTCAGTTACTTTTATTTTTGATTTTTTTGAAAACCTCTCACTTACTTTTATTAAAGTAGAATCTTTGGATAACTTTGTTGTGTTATTTACTATATAAGATGGGCAATCATTTTCTCCATCCACATGTGAGAATAAGTCTTATTTGCAGATACATTGACTTATGTGTCAAATTTGTTTTTATTTTTTAATTTTTTTAAACTATGGTCTCACCATTTTGTTTCAATAGGAGATAAGTTTTTGATTCCTGTAAAGTAAGAAAAGTTTCCCCATATAAGATTAGAGAAATATTATTCTTATGCAACATAAGATAACACTCTTTCCTACACACTCATTGATTTCCGCGTAGTTTAATTTTTATTTTTTATAAATGAGTGGACCCCACCCATAATTGTCTCTATGGTAGGAGAGAATTTCTCTCCTACAACATAAGATTAATAAAGCCCATAAAATTATAAGTATTCGATTTGTAAATGATCAAATTCTCTCCCTTTATTCGAAAATAAAACATGATAAGATACCTTAAACTAAAAGTAGACATTTTCTATTTTACAGGTTGGCTACACCAGAATAATAAGGGGGGAAATTATAGGAATGATATTAAAGGGGTGTCAAGGTGGCCATACAAGTGCTCCACTGCTAGAATACCTTTTGGAATTTGTGGATGATTGATTAACTTTTCATATTGTTACTTTTCTCGTGGGAGAAACTTTGGTAACTTTGTCATGCAGGTACTATTGGCATATTTGAATTCTGTTTAAAAAAAAAAAAAATTGATTTTCAAAAAAATATATATTTAATAAGACTTGCTTTGTAAAAATTATTCTAAAAATTAGAACTAGTTTTTAATTTTTAGAATCAAATTTAGAGAATATGTCTAGGATATTTTTATTTTGTGTTTTAATTTTTAATTTTCAAAAAAAAAATACATATTTCAGTTTTAAGAAGAAAAATAAAACACAGTGAAACAGATATTTTCTTTGTCGGTTCTTATTTTGCATCATTTACTAAGTTTTCGAAATTCACAAATGAGATATGATAAGCTCTCAACTTTTACAACACAAAACGTTAATTCTAAATATTAGAATTGTAACTTTAGGATTAATAAAAGGAAAAGACTAATAAGTAGTGAACAGAGAAAAAGATGGATTTGTGAATTAGAGGAAGATCAAAAGAAAGAGAAAGAGAAGATTTCAAGTTTCCGAATTGTAATTTGACACTATGACCAAAAGTTGCTAACACCAAAATACTTATACTTAAGACGTATAGAATATTTTATCTATTTTTTTACGTTTATTTTATCTACTAATCTCCAATAATATTTGATTACAATCTCAACAGACTTTCACTCTTTCTCCCTCATTTTGAGATTCCCATCCAATAGTGTTAGAATTGAATAGGTATAAGTAGAATAGACATAAAAAAAATAGATATTAAATCAAAAAGAAACATTAGATTCCAACACTTTATTACTTTAAATAAATAAAATAAGGGGTAAAATATTATAATAACCAATTAGGATTACTATCAATATTACTACCAATCGATTTCACCGTTAGATCGATTATGTTGATCCAACGGTTATATTTATTTTCATCTTTGTATGGTTATGATGATCCATATTTAATGTAAAAGCATTAAATAGATTAAATATGGAAAATCATAATCGTACAAAGATAAAAATAAATATGAAGTATTAAATATGGGGAATCATAAGCATACAAAGATGAAAATAAATATAACCGTTAGATCAACATAATCGATCTAACGGTGAAATCGATTGGTAGTAACTCTAATTAGTTGTTACAATATCCTACCTCATAAAGTAATGCAGGTAAAATTTGTTTTTGTTATGAATAATATGGATAAATTATTCTACCTATCTTTTTTTTCATGTTTACCACTCTCTAACACTATTATATTAGAATAATATATTTGTTTAGATGTCCATAAACCCCTAGAGACATTATTCCAAATTGTAACTTCTCAAAATTATTAGTTATTTTTCGTTGTAACTTACAATGTATTTATAAATCAAGACATCTATAAGACACACACACACACAAAAAAATACAATGAAAATTATCCTTTTTTTCTCCTTGTCCTTTCTATGATTCTTTAGTTTCATGACACGTTATCACGACCATAATCTCTATCTCATTCATCGAATCTGTCACACACCACCACTCTTGACTCTTCTCTACTTTCTCTCTCTTTAGTTTTTCTTTCTTAGAACCGTAATACCCATTTTGCGATTATTGGTTTTCCACCGAAGCTACTTTTGTATGCTAGTTTTCTCTTCCATTTAGTTTGGGTTTCTTGTTACCAACTCAATTTCAGTTTGTTTGTTTTTTTCTTCTTCTACTTTCTCACTTTCTCTACTCGAAAAACTGCCCAAAGTTGAAACTTTTTGAATCATCCCCTGTTCCTATTCTTAGCCAATAGACCAAAGCAATCTTGAAAATCGACAATCACACGTAATCGAGAAAACAGAAAAAGAGATTAGAGAGATTGACACAGCGATTTATCCTGATTCACCCAATATAGATTATGTCCAGCTTGTCTTATTTGTACTATATTCACTTCACCGCCACTCGTTACAAGTCTCTTGGTTTACAAGGCAATTATAAATAGAATTACAAAACTCTAGCAGCTATTCATGGACCCAAGCCCAAACTGCTAAGAAAATTACAATAAAACAGAGGTCAACAACAGTACCTAACTTCTACGGGCCTGGGGGCACTGCCTCGGACCCCGCCCGCTCACCTAGGAGTGGGACCCCAATTGTTTTTCTGCTGACCCCGACAACTAGGACTTTCATCAGCATGCGAAGTATGAGTTGTATCCAATATTCTTCGAATCTTGTTAATTTGTGCTCTACTTCCCATTCACCCTCCTTTAGCTACTCCAATCCCTCAACCACAGAAACAACAACCTTCCACATCTATGTAAATCATCAAACAAAACTATCTTCATTCATGGCTTCCTCGGAAAAAAAATTCAAATGGGATAAGCTTGCTTTCAAGTTTCAAGCTCGCTGAAATTATACTGTTTGGGTTGGGTTTTGTTTTATTTATGAAAAAAAGAATGAAGGGTGCGTTCCCATTCACCAAGTTTTTATCCCGAGATTTTTTGTAAAGGTTTATAAGGAGACAATCTTATTAGCATAAAATAAAGGGTTTATCGTCTATCATTTAACATGATCACAAAAAGTTTCCTATACACACAACATTTTGTAGGGCCCGCAGCAAAAAAAAAAAAACTTCGGCACGCAAAACGAAACTTTATAACATAAAACAATCACTTTTCCTACAACATAACTCTTATAAAACCCTAAAATAAAAGGTGAACATTCAATAGGGAGCTATGAAAAAATTAAGAGTAAATATTATTTTGATCCTCATCAAATTTTACGATATCTGTTTTAGTCCCTAACAAATAAAAAAAAAGAATAAATAAAAAAGGTTATCTGTGGTCTCTAAGAAATTCAAAGTGAACTCATTTTAGTCCTTTTGAGGGACTAATGTGGGTCTTTCTTGAATTTGTTAAAGATCACAATTTCAACTAAATGAGTCCATTTTGAATTTCTTAGGGACCACAAATAGCCTTTCTATTTGCCAAGGACTAAAGCGGGCATCGTAAAATTTGCTGAAGACCAAAAATAATATTTACTCAAATATTAGTAAAGTGAACTTTCTAACCCCGCATCTTCTCCCATTTTATCCTCAGATACTTTCTTTCTTGTTTGTAAGTCAATTAGCTGGATCATACTCTTCTCCAACACGAAGATAATAATAATGTAGGTTATTTACCTGAACTACACAAATGCAGATCCAAAACAAGATTTTGATCCCAAGTAGAAGCACAATTATTTCATAGCGTTCAACAAATTTATTGTAAGGATAAATTGGGCGATATCACTTAAATCAATTTTTGAGAAGCTAATATATGAGACTAAAATTTGTAGACTCATAGTCATTCAATGATGTTATAATCAAGTAGAGTAAAATATGTGCTGCATTCTAGATTTTGTCTCACTGAATTTTTTGAAAGATTTTTGACGAGGCAGCTTGCAATACATATTATTATAAAATTGTATACTTTTTTTTTTTCACTATGGATTTTTTCCCAATAAAATTTTACTGAGGTACATTATTTTAATAGACTTCCAATGGTGAGTGTTATTAATAATATATTTGTTTGTATGTCCATACCCCATAGACATTATTTCAAATTGTAACTTTTCAAGATTATTGATTTTTTTCCGTTGTAACTTACAATATATTGAGAACTTATAAATCAAGACATGTACAAAAGACAAAAAAATACAATGAAAAATATCCTTCTTTCTCCTTGTCTTTTCTATTATTTTTATTATATTCTTGTTATCCTTTAGTTTCATAACAGTTTTTTATTTTTGTAATATACGTGTGAATTACTTTGAAACATATTACGAGGTAAATTTTATTCATCGAAATATAATCCTTTTTCATTAAATTAATATACTGTCTTGATATTATATTACCAAAATGAATTAATTTGTTAACAATTTTTTTATTATAATTAAAACATTTCAATAATTATTCATAAAAAAATTCAATAATGTGTTAATATATAAACAAGTAAAATTAAAATTTATTAATTTATACCTTATTTGCTAGCATTGATCTAAAATTTTGTTTGGTGTGATGAATCCAAAGAAGATTTACAGATTTGATCTTCCTCGAGCAATGTTTATCTTTTAGGAAAATTATTTTTTAAAAGATATAAACTTATGTTTTTTTCACTCTTTTATAACTATGTACTTGGGAGAATATATAATTATAATATTTTTTTCTTTTCATAAATTTATCGATTGACGTGAAGAGAAAAGAAAAAAAAAAATTTCATATTATAATTATGTACTCTATACAATACATAGTTATAAGTAAGGGTGTTCGAAGTATGGATTAGATCGATTCTAGAAGCAAAAATCATCTGATCCAATCCTTCAATCCTTTCGGTTTGATTAATCATCCATTCAGTTTGAATTATTTTCAAATTCAATTCAATCTAATTTTTTTCGGTTTGGATTTGATCGATTTTTTATTTTTTGAAAAAGTCTAAAATTTGTTAATTATCGTGAAAATAACATATTGGAAGTTGGAACCAACAAAGAGAGTAAGGTTTCATAAAATATGAGAGCAACAAAGAGAGCCAGATAGCAAAGAGGGTTCTTCACCAGTCTTCAACAAATTGAAAGTTGGAATCCCTTGATTCTGCTGAATCATTGATGGGTTGCTAGATTTTATCTTGTGGATCTAGTTTTGGGCATTCAGATATGAAGATTTACACTTACGAAATTTTGCTGATGAGGTGTGGTTAAATTTTTTTTGGGTTTAGTTTATTGGTTAATAGGTTTTGGGTTTAGAATTTTTTGGGTATGATTGAGGAAAGACCCAAGTAGGTAGACAGAAATTAATATATTGGATCAGTTTGGGTTAGTTCAATTTTCACCAATCAACCAAAAATCGATCTAATCCAATTAAAATTTGCGATTTTTTTTCAGTTTTTATTTTTTCAATTTTTGATTAATTCGATTATCGATTCTTCGATTCGATCACTGCGATTTGAATCGATTTGGAACATTGATAAACACTCATAATTATAAGGGATAAAAGAATATTATCTTATACCCTTTAAGAACACACTAAACCCTTCTTTTTTCGAGGTGTTTAAACTTCCCATGTTAAAAAAGAAATTAAAAAAATGACGTAACACAACAATAAAATAATAAGAGCAATGCTAAATAGTTTAAAGATTAGACAGAATCTAACTAAAATCTATTAATACTATAAGTAGTTATCAAATCAACATCAACACTAACAAAATAATAGAGATCACTGATTTTTTTAAAAATAATAATAATATTATCAGTGCATTCAGAGAATATAATTTTAACTATTTTTTTTTCTGTTTTAATTTAAATTCAGTCCTTAAACTGTCAAAATAAAACTACGAGACCACAGAAGAATTTAAAATTAAAAAAAAATAAAAACGAAGGTTGAGACTTTGAGAGGAAGCATTGGTCGCAAAATAAAACAGTACCTTGAGAGAAGAGAGAAGAGAGAAGAGAAACACGATTGACAGCAGCAATTGCTTCCTCCATGAGTGATAATAGAAGCTCCAAGTCTTCAACTTCAACGTCTCCTTGTGCCCTTCTTAGAGATGCATATCACAATTGCTTCAACAGGTTTCATTCATAAACACTCTTTTTCCATAATTTGTATCTTTCCCCATTTCCCCCTTAAAACCCTAATCTCGTTTTTTTTTTAAGGTGGTACGCGGAGAAATTCCTGAAGGGTCACTGGGACAAAGAAGAATGTGTTTCCGAGTGGCAAAAATACAGAGCTTGCCTTTCCGTAGGTCCTTAGATACTTGTTATATACTTATATCTATGGAGCTTTACCTGAAAATTACTCTCTGACTTTTGACAGGAACATTTGGAAGATAAACATCTTAGTCGTTTCTTGGATGCTGAAGGCATTGTTCAAGACAGTGCTGTTGCTTCTCAATAACTTTTAGTGGGAGTAAGGTGATTCGTAGATCCATTACTGCAAAAGACAGGGAATTGATCAGATGTTTCATATGTTTACTGCAAAAGATATGGAATTTTTCAATAATCCGTGATCAATTGAGTAACTTCATTGCCTAGTTATTCATTGTATTGCTGTGCAAATTTATAATTTATATTGTTTAAATGATAGAAACCTAGGCTGAACCCTTGGTATAGACTATAGAGTTTTTACTGTAACATGAATAGGTTTTAAGAATGTGACCAAAGCAATGGAAATTGCATTCTTCGGTTAGGATGTCAAGTGACATAATTATCTGCTACAGGGTTTTAAGTTCTGTGAAGCAGGCTTATTGCTGTTTTACTTCTGTGAGGTGTTGACAGAATTGGATGATGTCCGTTCCTAATCTCTAAGCAAGATTCAGTCACTATTCATTGACAACAATTATGTTGCATTGGTGTATGCTTGTTTTTCCTGCATGATTTAGTGGTTGCCTTTTAGTTACATTCCTGCCCTCATCTTAAACGACTTCGTGTCTATCTCTTACAAGCTTATTGGCCTAACACCCATAAAAATAGTCACCAAAACACACTCATGTATGGTTGAAGCCTCAGTTTATTTTGTCAATTTCACTTGGGTAAAATTTGAGCAGTTTTCTCATGCTTCTATTTCTTTTGGATAGAGAAAGAACTTTAATAATGTTCTCTTCCATATCTAATAGCCCTAACACCATGGGTTTAGAACCATGAATGATTTGGCTGTAGGGTACGAGAGAGAACATGGGATGGACTATTGGATTGTAAAGAATTCATGGGATAAGAGCTACTGAGCTACATCAGAATGGAACTTGAGTGAGAGCACTACTTGCCAAAAAGAAAGGTCAAAACCTCCCAAACCTTGGACCATTTCCATGTTTGTGATAATTACTACAGATGCGCGGAGAGCACTACTTGCCATTGTATTTTCGAGTTCGTAAATTCTTGTCCTTTTGAGGATGCCACCTGCTGTGAAGATCACTTGAGTTGCTACCCGCATAACTATCGCATCTGCAACGTTTACGCATGGCCTGTCTAACGAGTAAGGATATTCCATTTGGAGTGAAGGCGTGAAAGAGAACTCTAGCTAAACCCAACTGGATAGAGAGAACGGAGGGGGCGTTGCTGGAGTAGGCTGGGCTTGATTATGATTTTGTATTTGTGATGCATGTAACTATCTGTTGTATAGATGAGTTATGAATAAGAAGTTGGAAGAATCGTGTCTTTTCGTTTCAAACTGTCGCATCTCTTCGCTTGCGAAGAGTCGTGCCTCTTTGCAAGCAAACAGTAGCACCTATTTGTTTATGAATAATTATGCCTTTTCATCTTGTGACCATTCATCTCTGTAAATACCAGTGGCCTGTAAACAATAATTATCAGGTTTTTTCCGACTCCTTTCCAAAACTCTGTCAAAATTAATCCTCACATACTGCCTTTGTCTACAATTGATCAGCGTTTGTTGTGCCCGTCGGTACTGTTTCTTCTGGTATTGCCACTGTTGAAACAGAGGTAATCCGTTCTATTCTAAGAGACATTTGGCCACGAACCTGAGGTAGTGTTGAGGGGGCAAAATTGTCTTAAGGGCACAATATCTAATATTGGGCTCGGGTTTGATTTTCTTAAACTTTTATGCCTTGCATTTTATATTTTGATTTTCTACGATTGCATGTAATTTTATATTTTACTGGTATCACTATAATCCAAAACATAGATTTTTATACTACCACCTTTAACACTAATTACGAAAGAAGCTTCTTCATATGACTCTAAATTCATGTATTAGAATGTCCGCTGCCTGTCTTGGTGTTTTTAATCTATAGTCTATTGCAACTAGGAGACACGAAAATTTGGTGAGGGTGGATTCGCAAGGAACATGATTCCGAAAATGTTGCATCATATGAAGTTTTTTTTTTTTTTTTAGTACAAGTGGAGGGCTGAAAGCCCAAACACAAGAAACAACTAAGTCAAGCCATCAGTGGCTTGAGAACAATCAGCTTCCATTAACCTTAATAGCTCATGTGGTGGTCTGCCAAGTAAATGCAGGCGTCGTTCCAAATGAAGTTGTTTTTAGTTCCCACATTTTTTAAAATTATTTTAAAGCTTGGAAGTAAAAAATAAATCAAATCAGCGGTAAGATTCACCTTGTGAGGGCAGTCAGCAGTTCAGTCTGAAACCGGTGACCATTCTACCCATTTAAAGTTGATATTTCTGCACTACATTTACCTCTAAGAGTAAGTTTGCCCGCAAGTCCAATTTGGTAACTCGAATTCGGGTTTGGCTAGCTGGACCATGGAATATCCAGATGCAACAAGTTTATTGTGAAACAGACTAGCTGGCAAATTATTTATTATTCCCTTCTGCTCAGGAAGATCATGAGTTTTTTTGGCTCCCCACCGTCACATCTTAGTCTCTTATTCCTTGTTCACCTTGCAGCAGGTGGGAGAAGTTTAGTTAGTTTTCTATGAGTTTGTTTGTTTGTTTATTTGCTTTTGGCGTTTAGCCAATTCATGTTACCAAAAAAGAAGTTGATACTTCTGCATGCAGAATGACCATCTATTAGCATTGCATTCAAGCCCTGTGAACAGCATGCAAGAGAAGAGTAACTGGTTGACGGTGGGAAGCTGCTAATTTTGCATATGAAAAAGTAATAACGTGTAGTTACGGGGTGGGAAGATGGTACAAAATTTAGGAGACAAAATGTTCTTTTGCCAGGTAAGAAAATTTCAGGACATTCCAACAAAGCAATAGATTCAAACCACAAGGGATCTTTGCTCACTTTGGCCCTTTGCCTTTGGAGACGAGTAATTTAGATTATGACAAACAGAATGGAACCACGTGCTACAATATAAACTTAAATGTATCCTTGATCTGTGATGTACACTTTGGTCCTCTTATTAGATTTTCTCTTATATGTTAGTAGAAATTGACCTTCAAAGTCTGATAATATATAAATAATTAATTCAACACAAAAGTTTAAGCTGATAAGTGATGACACAATGATGTGACAATTTTGTACTAGAAGTTTCTTTAACTTAATCATATGACAAACGTGTGAGGATCTGCTTTCTCCACCCCCTCCTCAATCTAAAAAGCTTATTGCTATTTACCATAGTCCCTCTGATATACCAAACCCTCAATCATGGCCGCCAAAAGACAAAGAAGCCACCATGCCAAAATTATCTCAAATAAAACACATACTCACATAGCAACCGAAGTTTCTTTTTATTCACCTAAACACTTGACCCCAACACCAAAACTGAAATTTTCCAAACACAAAGAACAACCACCTTTCCTCAGTCTCAATCACCACAAAAACCATTACTTTTTTGCCTGAATCACCGGTCATCTCTGCCTCAAACAAACACAACCAAAACCCAGATCAAGCTACATACAAATTGAAACCATAAAGCAAACAAAATTGAAACACAACACCCATAAACCACTGTATTGTACCTCTCTTAAATTAATTGCACCTCCATCATGCAAGCCCCCCATAACTCCACGTAACCCACAAATCTCACTGCCACAAAACCTGTATACAAGCCCTTACAATCTTCACCTTTAATTTCTCAACCCAGCACAACCCTGCTTTGACACAAACAACAGATAACCATCACGGTCTTCCACTCCCTTGAAATTTTGAGCAGCTCTGAAGCGACCATCACACCTCATCGAACCAAAATCAAGCCACCAAACCCCCCCTAAATGGAACCCAAAACCACTTCAACCAAAATAAACGCAATGATTCGAATTTCTAATGCTAGTCCCATCTTTCTTTTTTTATCCCTGGTGAACTTAGGGTTTGAACAGCAATGTAGAATGGTGGTCTTAGGTGATAGGGAAGGAAGAAAACTATTTGTTTGGAGCATGATTAACTTAAGGGTAAATTCTACACAAATCTGGTCTCGTGCCTTGCGCTTGACCATTTCCGTTACAGAACTACCGAAAACCTAATAGAAGGATCAAAGTGCAGAGCTAAGAAAGCTAAAGGATTGAGTTGCAGCTTTTCAAAGTTTAAGAACTAAAGTGCATATGATCCTAAGTTCAAGGGAGTGAATTGAACTTTTAATCATGATAGAGCCGTGACATTGTGGCATTAGGTGCCAAAGTCAAATGATCGAGGCAGAAAAAGTTAAAGACGGACAATCAAGTAAAATGAGTTAATCAATAGAAGTATAGAAAAACTATTGAAGTATGCAACCTTGTTTAGCAGTTTTTTTTTTCTACCCACAGCCATTCTCAAATTAAAAAACTATTTGGTTTCAGCTTGTTTTATTTCTTTTTGAAAAGAAAGTGTGCAACCATCCATTCTTCACCATTGTTGTATCCAAAGAGTTCTGCTACAGCTATGAAGAATGTTCTCCAATAGGCCGTCCACTTAATAGCTGAATCCTTACCATACGTTGATTCCATAATTGGCTTGATGGAAGTCTTACTCCGGTCCATTCTTTTGAGCCATTCTTCACTGAAAGATAAATTCCTTTTCTCTTATAAACAAATTAACTATGGAGTTGCTGTAAAATCATTAAGCAATTTAGTTGATTCTAACCTGGTCTGTGCGTAGTGGGTCCCATTTACTAGCCAGTGGTTGACGACAGAAACATCATCCTGCATACACCACCAAAGAAGTCAATTCATAAGTGAGCTAAATCTGGATGTGTTACACATAAATATTGCTGGTGCTTCTATTCGTTTTTTTTTTTTTTTTTTTTGCCACCAAATGTTTAAAGAAAGTGTACATTTTTTTCTTTTAAATTTTCCTTCATCTTTTTCTTATAGAAAACAACCAAAAAAAATTGATGGGATTCTGCAAAACCATCAGGTAATCACAAAGCTGGCACAACTTGAGTAGCAAACTTACTTGGAAATAAAGAAGTAGATTTGCTGAAGGCATAGTTCCTCCGGTAAAGAAGTATCTCGTAATCCAGTCATCTTCATTTTTGTCCTACATAATAAGTAGCCAGTAATTAAATGAATGGTATCTATGAAAAACTCACTAGTCTTATTCAGGTATGACTATATCGTAAAACAAAACCAACAAACCAAAACGGCTAAATCGTTTATCATCATTATATCAGGTTCACCTCGAAATGGTAAGCAAATGCTTTGTGGCAGAAATGATGAATAAATAAAAGGCTATCCTCTTCCATCCATTTGGATATCTTCTTGAGAAGATCTTTATAGTTCTTCATATGCTGCGCCAAGGTCAAAACTGACTTTAAATTTAAGAAAACATCGCTTCAATACAGATTATTCACCCACAACACAAACTCTAACCTCAAACATTTCTATGGAAAATATTCTGTCATAAGAAGCTTCCATTTCAAACGTGCTAATATCTGCAACAATGATATCCAAATTTTGCAGCTGAAGATCCCTGACAAGTGCAAGAAAGTTATTTTCGATCATAATGCAATATTTAATTTGGAAGCCAAATATTGCTGCCACGTAAGAATGTCTGCTTGAGATTTTTATAAACTATATGACATGCGCAATGCTTAAAGGAGATGATGGTAAATCAAGCAGCATACAGGCACTTCTCCTCAATATAAGCTTTTTGAGATGTGGAATTGCAAATCCCTGTAACCCTGGAATTACTGTAGTTCTTGGCAATGTATAAAGCCAGTGATCCCCAACCGCACCCAACATCAAGAACTGTATGACCGTCTTTCAGGTTTGATCTCTCACAGTACAGTTTCAACATCGCTTCTTCAGCTTCTTCCAGCGTCTTCGAGGCAGAAGAGAAGTAACAACAACTGCACTAGTTCATACATATAGGAACGTTATATTAGCCATAAGGTTGTGCGTGTACTATTTTTCTTTCACGCACGCGTACATGTCAATAATTTATATTGCCATCGTATTACATCCCTTAAATATTCATTTTGCAACAAAAAGATGTGTTTAGAATGAATCTCCATACTTCTTGTAAAGTAAGTATTTCAACCCAAAACATAGGATCAAGACACATTGATAATCTTATATTTTATATATATTTCTCTAACAAATCAGCTCGCACTAGGGCATATTGGACTTTAAGGAGGCGTTTGGTTGAGGAGAAATATTATGAATGATAGGGAAATGTTATGTATAGGAAAATGGCTGAAAAATGAGATTGGTAGAAAAATGTAAGAAAAAGTAGTTTGGTTAGAAAAAAATTTACAGGAAAAATTAAGTAATTTTTGTAAAGTCTATGTTTGGTTGTAAGTAACATATAGATGGAAAAATGCATGGGTATTACAAAATTAACCCTCACTTTATAAATTTTTGAAGTAACAGGGAAGACGCTGGTCTTTACCCGTAACGTCCATATCACTTTTGTACAAAAGGAAGTTTGTGTTGGCAACGACCATTTCAGAGCTATGTTCTTCATTAATGCAAGTCGTATCACTTTCCAACCAAAGATACAACATGGTATTAACTTCATCTTCAAGATATAGTGTACTTGTTCAAAGCTTAAACTTTGTAAATGACTAAATGGTTTGGCCCTTTTTTTAAACCCCAATTTTACAGGTTCTGGCTGCAAGTAATGGCGAAGCAGAAGGAGTAGAAGAAGTTGCTGCACTGGAGGGGTACGCTGGTCTTTATCTTAGTACAATAAGTGGGCAAATGTGGAGGGGTTCCACAATACCACCCCTCAAAACGGCAACTTTGGCCGGCAAGTTCAGCATAGAATCATAGATAAATAAGAATCATAGATATCACAATTAGCTACATAACTCACAGCAAACCCAACACACCAAACCAAGCTTTCTTACTTTCCCACTCCTTATTTATCTATGATTCTGTTGATAATCCTAGAACCAAACAGCCCCTAAGGACAGATAATACACAAACTTACTTATCTAAACTCCACAATATTTCATTATTTGGTAATAGAATGAAGCGACAAGAATCGAATTTGTGACCACTTGGTCACAAGCTCTAATATAAAATAACTCTTTTGACGCAAAACTTAAGGTTTTAGGTCAAGGCACAATAATATTCTTATATTTTATATTATATTTCTCTCGTTTATGGATGAATTAGTACTTGAAGATGTTCCATAATAAACTTAAAACATAAAATAAAAAAAACAAAAGCAATTGGGTAAAATTAATCTTCCAATATCAGGCAAAATAAATAAAGAAAGCATGAAAGTACCTATATTTGAGATTATTTCCGAGCACCAGCTTGAAGAAAGAGGTGGGCAATTCATAATGTTGAGATTTAGGCTTATCAGTGTTGATTGCAATAGGCATATCTTTTAAAGCTGAAAGAAAGAGTAAGAGACATTAATTAGTCTTAAAAGAGCATACATTCAAGGTATATATCAGGTTCTGTTAATACAGTTAAAAGAGAGAAGGAGAAGGAGAAGGTTGAACAGTACAGCGTGCAAATTGAACAAGGTCATCGAGTTGAGTTTCAGAAGAAGGCTTGTAAGCAGAGCGAAGGCGAGTAGCCAACAACAAGCGCGTGAGTCTCCTGATAACAGGATCAGGTAGCAAGTTGCGTTCCAGTGAAGCCAGCATCAGCTTCACCGTAGTGTCATACGGTAGCTGCATTAACCCTTCCATCATCAAAATCAAATGGTTGGAAATTGGAATGGAGGAGGAGGAACCTACTTGGCTAATGGCTACTCACTCACGCAGCAATCACTAACTTATCTATACGTTATCTCGTTACTATTGGGCTGGACTTCTCTTCTTCTTTTTTTATTATTTCTTTTTTCTTAAATATAAATTCAAATCTTTAATATGAAGTCATTAGTACAGCATTTAGAATTGCTTAGAAGATAATTGCATTGACTTCTTTAAAGTGCGGCGATTATGCATGAAATTCTAGTGATTTTAAAAAAGAAACATGCACTCCACATATTTTTATGTGTGTATAACATACAACATGAGAAACATTAATATCTTTATAAAATTAGCTTAATTAAAATATTTTGATAAACATTCAAGCAAAGTGGGGTTTCCTTTATCAATTATATCTCAAATATTTTTCATTTGTTTTCACCGAAAGAAACTCACAATTTTCTTCGTGATGTTGTTTTCTTTGAATTTATAAATGTTAGTTCAGTTAATTGTAAATTTTTGTCATGATTTATATTTAGAAAATAATAATAGGGAAAAATGTTTCTGCAGTTAATGCAGATAAGTTATTTGCATTTATTTCCAAAACGACGTCATTTTGATATTGAAATCTTAAAAAATTATAAATATAAAAACTATTATAACCCTGAAATAAATTAAAATTACAAAAACATCATGATTTTCGCCCAAAATGACGTCGTATTGAGCTTACTGCAGATAACTTATCTACGGTAACTGTAAAAAAAGCAAACCCATAATAATATTAGATGCTAATTTACCAGAATCAATTTAAATTGTTGTTTAATTGGATGCTGGGATTATTGAAGGAGATCATAATATGGAGCAAAATTTAAAGATTCTTAAAGTACGCCATTCTAAAATCACAAATGAGACTCTGAAGGGTTGAAAAACGCCACGTACGGGACAAATGGCATGTTTGGAGAGGCCTGTAAAAAAATATTTTTTATGTCTTGTTTATTTTAGATTTTTTAAAAAAAAATATTAGGTTTTGGCTTCTACTTTTGTTAGAAGCTAAAAAGTAGATTAAAAAATAGGTTTTTAATTTTTTCTTATGACTTTTGCTTTTTTTAAAACAGACATTCAATCAAATTTTGTATTAGAAGTATTTTTTTTTTTTAGAAAAAAAGTTACTTTTAACCAAAAATAAAATAAACTCATTCAAACGAATCAAAATATATTGCAGAAAGCAGAGGCTTTTGGGGAACAATTTTTGTCCATGTAGATATTGGTAGATATCTAGAAAGTTATTCGAGAGAGCTAGCCCAAATTATTTATCTACATCGAAATTCCTGTCCTTATAACTTAGAAGCTCTTTATTTTAGCTGATTCAGAATAAATTAGTTTTCTTAGCACAATTTCTTTACAAGTTGTATGGTTTAAGGAAAAGACAATGGGAAATGTGTGTGTTATTTTACACTTATATCCTTTTAAAAGAGATAAATAAACAAACTATAAGGAGAGAGAGTGGAAGAAAAAATTTGTAATTTAAAATTTAAAAAAACAAATTACATTAATCTAAAAGATCATCCTCTTAAATGACAAACACTCATAGATAATTCTTTAAATGAGCACATAAATTAAATCATGAGTAAATTGCTTACTGGTTCTTTAAAAATGGGTCACACTGGGTTTATCATCACTTGTAATTCTATATTAAAAGTGGCACGTCACTACGTCAGGACCCAATTTTGGTGTTGGGTTCGATTAACCAGTTTTTCACGTAGCAACCATGTGATTTGAAATATGCTAATCTATCCCTTGACTGTTTATTTTGCTAGAGCTTCACTCCATGACCCTTATTTCTTCTGCTAATTTATTACAAAATTAATAGATGATAAGTGTCAATGCTCAAGTTCCCTTACGAAATCTTTAAATAATTTGTGCAAAAAACTACAGTTAATTTTTTTTCACCTCCCTTATATCAAAGGCTGTGAGAGATCAAGAAATTTTGGAAAAGCAGAGGGATTTTAGGAGAATTGGGGAAATTTTAGCTCTTGCTTTGTGACAAGAAGACTTGCAATTCAAAGCGAAAGTGTTGCTGCTTGTAATTCACATGCTAATTCGAATACAAAATATGCTCACTGAATAAAGACCAGAATAAAATGCTTACAGAATAAACCTTAGGGGTAGAGTGGCCTATAATCACAAAAAGCTTACAGAATAAACCTTAGGAGAATAAAATTCGGATATCTGATTGATTTTCCTTTTTTGTATATATCCTCCTCACAGTTGTGTCTACCCCTATAATCACCTTCATGAAATGTCATTTATAGTCATTAGTGATAACGCTAGATCTAATATTCTATATTTTTAGAAACATGGTACCTACCAAAACCTTTATTCTGGAGAGAAAAGAAGAGAGTTTCCTCTATTTGATCTTCATAGCCCTTAAAAGTTCATTTTTACATGAGAATTTGCTAACTATGATATTGTGGAATACCTCATATAACACTTGGCAAGAGCACAAGCAGTGAGAATAAGAACTAGAGGTGGCTAGCTATGGCCCACGAAACTGCCAAAAGTTCTTAATTTTCGACTTAGCATGGACTTGGGTGAGTATGGTTGCCTTCGTAGGTTGTTATTACATACCTTGGATCATCCCTATCTCTCTCAACTCTTTTTTTAACAGGGCATCCATCCACTGAACACCTGTAGTAGTTCCTGTAATCAGATATGATCTTAAGATAAATATATTTGAAGTGTGCCATTATTTTATTCATAATAAGAAATAGAAAAATGAAAAGGAACCATAGTCCTTAAAGCACACATCTTTCTTGCTTAGTAATAACACAGCATCATAAGCATTTATACCTTGGATTGGGGCTGTTTTTCACCATCTTCTTTCCGTACTTCCTCCACTTGAACCCATCGTCCAGTATTTCAACCTCTGACTTTGTTCTGAATGCCACTTTATCTTTAACTTCCTTCTTCTCAGGTTCACTGCTAATGTCTCCTATGACACAACCAATGACAATAAGCATAAGACATATTAAGCTAAACAAAGCAAAATCATGAAGAAGTAAAGATGCTGTGGTATTGAATAATTACTCATTGAAAATGGCTATAAAAAAAAGAGTACAATTTCATTTCAGGAACTTGGCTTACTGCTAGAAGACTCCTCAAAATGGCTGCTACTTCCTCCAAATTCACCTGCTTCATTGGCTTGATTATCCTGGTTCAGGACATGCTCAGAAACAAATGACTCTGGACCATCATCTGCCCATTGATCATCATCGAACTTCAAGTACTCAGAGAGCTCCAGATCAGGCCACTGGTTGGTGAAATCACTGTCAGGTGAAGATGCTGGTCTTGGATTTTTATCTGTCATTTTGGTACCATCGATATGAAAAGAAAGGATCGTGGTACACATAATATAATCACCATAGCCTTTATTTAATGAGGTAGCTTCATGGTGACCTTCCTATGAACTATATTAGGAAGCTTCAACTAAGAAGTAGAATTGGTACGTATCTAATATTTGTGAAAAAAAAAAAAAAAAAAAGTATGATAGAACTTGCTGAGATGAGAGTGGGGCATGCCCGGGGATGACTTAAAAGAAGACTTTCAAGATATGATAATGTTACTTGGGCAGCGGGTCTCGTGGCTTGACCAACCCGTTCACAACTGAGAATTACAAGTCAAAAGTGATGGTGATTTGAGGTCTGATGCAACTTCCTTCGAACCACAAGTTTTTGCTTGCATCAGAGATAGATGTTGATGGATTAATTTCTTTTAAATAAATAAAAAAAATGCTTTTGAAAATAATGTAAAATATTATGTTATGCTTCACTGTAAACAAAAAAAGATGGTAGTGGATGTAAGTTTTAACTTTTACATTTTGATACTTGATATAGAATAAGCAAATTATAATAAGCGCATACCATTTTTCAATATTTCTCATTTTCCTTGTACCAAAGTTAGCGTAAAACGTGTTAAAAAAAATATTGTAAAATTATTTGCTTATTAGATATTAACTAATCCATCTTTTTTACTTTGCGTTTGCAGCTATAGTACTATTCCATTCCTTAAAGATGGAAGAAACGAATTTACCTTTATTAAAGATACACTGTTCTATCTTGTATCAAGAGTTTTAAGTTTAGCAGAGTTAGTCCACTGCTTTCACATTCTTGCGTTCATAGCTTGTCCAATGAATTTGTTGAGATATATAGTTCCACATTGGTTATATGTGCAACTAATCTGGAGTTTATAAGGTCTTGAGCACTCCCACCCTTTGAGTTAGCTTTTGGGGTGGTGTATCTCAAGGTTCCATGGTATCAAACCCTTGCCGCCCCCCACTTTCTCTTGTGGTGTTTCTTAGCACGGTAGGCTGGGCCTGTTGCATTGTCCACTCTCCAAGCCCAATGAGCTCTCGTGTGAGGGGGCGTGGCGTGTTGTATGCGCAACTAATGTGGAGTATCCCAAAGTTCTTTACATGGTATCATAGCCTCGCCGACACCATTTCCTCTGTTCTTTACATGGTATCATAGCCTCGCCGACACCATTTCCTCTTGTGACGGTCTTGAGCACTCTCACCCTTTGAGCTAATTTTTGAGATGGTGTAACTTAAGTAAAATTCTTTACAGAATTAATTGGCTTTGATAGTTGACACGACTGAATAGTATAGATGCTCATTAGCGAGGAGAGGAAGTGATTCCATCCCAGAGTATGGCCCCAAAGGCCCAAACAACGGTACAAGGTGTCTATTAAAGGAAGTTCACAGGCATCTTCCGCGGACTTCTGTTTTGGGGCAACAGTGAGTGAAGTGCCATCTTGATTCAATAGCTACTAAAAAATTGACGCACTATTGTAATCTCTGGATCAGCTTGGAAGCAACATAACAATTTTCAAAACCAAGTTTGAATTTCTTGTGGTTAGCTGATAAGCCTTTTTTTTTTTTTTTCAATCTCTCATGTTATTAGGCATATGTCAAATCAAAACATCCACCCTCTGTTCGACCCTTTTCTAGGAAGGCGTCGTGGCCTAATGGAGAGTGCTTTCAGCTTACCACCACTAAAATTTTACATTATTTTTCCCGGAGACTCACTCCCAAAGTTTTAGCCCCTTTTTTATTAGTTATATTGTAAATTATTTGATGCTTATGTTAGATATAATATAATTTTTTTTATGTGTCTTTATTTAAGAGTTTAGACTTTTGAATTATCTTGATATAATATCAAGTTTATCTGATTAAATGATTTAAAGTTCCATTATTTTAATATATGTGATATCAACTTTTGAATAAATTATTTTATCTTTCCTTCTTTAAAATTATAAGAATAATTTTATATAATCATCAAAACAAATTTTTTTTTTTAAACTTTAATTTAAATGTAACTTTTAACTTATTTTTTTTTATCGAACAAGCTTTGAGTCCTATTGTGAAAATAGAAAAGAAAAAACTTTAGTAGTAGGATTTATTTATTTTTCTGTGAGTGTGCCATATTTTTTCTGCATAAAAAACCAGAACTTTATTCTTTTCCTTTTAAGTATTGGGTGTCTTCATCTTCTAGATTTATGTTTTAAAAGATAAGATTTATCCTCTTACTAACTAATAATATATAAATTAATGATCAATAATGACTTAGCTTTTAAAGTAGCAGGAGACTTTTTCAAAATCATTCTAAGGTCATTTTTAACGATAAATATCATATTTGAAATAACAACAAAACATTCCCATTTTGTTTTCCTCTGGAAAAAAAAACATGCAGGTTGTTCAGCCAAGATGATTTTATAATTAATAGTCAAACACGTTACCATATTACGGGATATGAAAAATGAATATTCTTCTTTCTGTCATCTTCAATTAAAATTATTTAACATTTCCATTCGCCTTTCAACTTTGAAGAATTAAAATTATTATTTGTTTAACATTAACATGAGGAATTGAAGAAGACGCTGGAGCTCAAACTTTTTGACTCTTCCGGGAGCAACGGCCGGGTTGATTCTTAGTTTATATATATGGGGTTTGATTTTGTCATTTAACATAACACATCGAAATTTTTTACACACACAATATTTTGTGGGGCCAACACTTTTTGAATAAAAAATAAATAAAAAAATTACGGCATGCAAAACGGATCTCTATAACATTACACAATCACTTTTCCTACAACATGACTCTTATAAAACCCTATATATATAAGGTTTTATAAGAGTCATGTTGTAGGAAAAGTGATTCTGTAATGTTATAGAGATCCGTTTTGCGTGCTTTAGTTTTTTTTGCTTAAAAAAGTGTGAGTCCCACAAAATGTTGTGTGTGTAGGAAAGTTTTTCTTGTCATGTTAAATGACGAAAGCAAACCCCTATATATATATATATATATATATATATATATATATATATCTAAATTGTCTTTTATTTATCTGAGCTTTATGTTAACATTTTAACATGTGTTAGAAGCATGTATGATTGTAGGATGAGAAATGAAAGTACGTTAACCATTCCTGATACTCCTCAACAATCTGATCAAGAGACTCAACAGTCTCATAAAATAAACACTAGGTCAGCAAAACATGTCAATACTCTGAGTCATTGTGATGAATCTCCTGAGTCAGAAAATAATTCTGAAATTAAAATTAATCCCATAACTGATGTTAATAACTGGAGAAACCCTTCCAAACTCTATTATCAAAAGGAAACTGCTCCTGATCTTCTACTTGAAGAAAAGAACACAAGCTTCAAAAGTTTCAATGGTAACAACGTCTATGAATGGAACATAGATGGTCAATCAGAGTATAACATACTCAATACTCCGCACCATATGACTATGGTTGCAACTGCCTATCAAACTTCTCACAACTGTTCTGAAGAAATCATTGTCCATATTATTGTCTCTGGTTTCTCTGGTCAACTCAAAGGTTGGTGGGATAATTATCTTTCTGAAGAAGAAAAAAGTTCAGTTCTTAATGCCATTAAGGTTGATCTTGATGGCATTCCAATAACTTCTAATGGAAACACTATTCTCGATTTTGTTAATCAACTAATCTTCACCATTATCCAACATTTCATTGGTGATCCATCTTTATGGAAACATAGTTCTGTTGAACTCTTATCCAATCTTAAATGTAGAACCTTAGCTGACTTTCGTTGGTATAAAGATACCTTCCTTACTAGGGTTTACACTCGTGATGACAGCCAACAACCTTTCTGGAAAGAAAAATTCTTAGCTGGTCTTCCAAAATCTTTAGGAGACAAAGTTAGGGATAAAATCCGTAATCAATCACCAACTGGTAATATTCCTTATGAGCAATTAAGTTATGAACAATTAGTTGCTTATATCCAAAAGGTAGCTTTGAAAATCTGTCAAGATGATAAAATCCAACGCCAACTTACAATAGAAAATGCTCAAAATCGTAAAGATTTAGGATCATTTTGTGAACAATTTGGTCTACCCTGCACTACGAAAACTAAAAAACATAAAAAATAGGAACACAAGCAGGTTAAAACTTTTAGGAATTTTCGTAAGAAACCTAATTACAATAAAAAATTTAAAAATGAAAATCCTAAGCCAAATACTGAAACAAATAAATCACAGAATACATCCAAACCAATTAAGCCAACGATTTGCTATAGCTGTGGTAAACCTGGTCATATTAGTAGATATTGTAGGCTTAAGAAGAAACTAAGCAATTTAAACTTAGATCCATCTATTGAAGAACAAATTAATAATCTTCTAATCCAAACCTCAGATGAAGAATCTGAAAAGGAATCTTCTGAAGACTTAAATCTAATCCAAGAAGATGATTTATCTTCTAGTAAGGATTCACAATCCTCGCAGGAAATTAATGTCTTAACTAAAGAACAAGATCTTTTGTTTGAAGTCATAGATTCAATCAGTGATCCTTAGGAAAAGAAAGTTTACTTAGCAAAGTTAAAATCATCTTTAGTAACCAGTTCTTCTAAATCTAAAGAATTGTTGGTTCCTAATAATTTCAATCTTAAAGATACTCTTAAAAAACTAGAAAATAGTATTACTGGCAAACCTATAACTGTCCAAGATCTTCAATATGAGATTAATATTCTCAAAACTGAAGTTAAACAAATCAAAGAACAACAACAAACTCATCAGAACATTCTTCTTCAATTGCAAAATGAAGAATCAACAGGAACGAGTATGGAAAATACTCTGTCTAAACCAGATGAGGATAAAAATCTAAAAGATGAAGAATTTTTAGGATTAATTAGTCAATTAACAATTCAAAAATTCTACATCTCAATCAAACTCAATGTAGGTAACTTTGACCTTGAAATTGAAGCTCTGTTTGACACAGGGGAAGATTCAAACTGCATTCAAGAAGGCCTAATTCCTACTAAATATTTTGAAAAGACTTCTGAATGGCTTAGTACTACTAGTGGTTCAAAACTTCAAGTTAATTACAAACTTCCTAAAGCAATAATAGAAAATGATAATTTAAAGGTTGAAACACCATTTCTCCTTGTTAAAAATCTAAAAAATGGAGTTATTCTTGGAACTCCGTTCATCAAATCTCTCTTTC